CTTTATGTATATCTAAAAGCACAAATTAATAAAAACTATAAACAAATAGAAGGAAGACCAGTAGAGCAGAGGAAGGGGAACAGGAGGAGGGAGGAAGGGAGGGAAAGAAGAAGTACTTGGAACTGAAGTGGAGTGAATTATATTCCATGCTTGTTTGATTATGTCAAAATGAACCCCAATATCATGTATAAATATAGTGCACTAAAAAAAATTGAAAAAGACATTGTTGAAAATACACATATTGCTTAACACTCCACTTTTCCTGTTTTGAATAGACCGAGAGGCCAGTTTGTCCCCTAGCTCGGCTGACACTTTTTTTTATTGCCATTCTCAGTTGTAGTTCCTATTTATGTTTCACAGGAGACAGTGAAACCTAGTGATTCATATCTCTACACCAGCACCTGTCATCTGTGGCCCATTTCTTAAATTCTCTATGCCTTAATTTCCTTATCTATAAGTAATGTTGCTTATTGTTCAAGGATAAAAACTACTTGCATATCTGATGAATCATAAAAGTTCAATGATTTTTCCCTAGATTGTTTTAATAACATATACAGTAGTAAATAATATTTCCTTCTAGTCTTCTATTTCAAAATATTTAAGACTTGTCTGTGAACAAGAAACACTGAGAACACACTCATTGCCCTTGAACACCTTAAAGGGTTTCAGGAAGACATAGGACAATTAGCCTCCTCCTCAGGAGTTTAGCTTCCTTCAAGCAAGTAGAGCTAGGAATGGGTAGTTGAGCTGGGTATAGAAGGCAGGTGTGTAGAGGATGCTGTTTGTGCACAACCAGTATCCCTTTGACCTTTTGCTGTGCTCATATCAAATTCTACCTGCTAGTGTCTTCATCTGCACCTGAAGGCTTCCCCCATCCCATGTGTGGAAGGTCACCCTGACCGCATGCTTGGTTATCTGGAAGTGCTAGGACTTAACCACTAACAGCAGCCAAGAGCAGCCCTCTACCTGTTATGGATGGGAGCTGGGATACTGATGTGAGCTGGTCCTCACGTGGGATACCTCTGATGTGTCGGCATTACCAACATACATTTTTGTAGTTATGACAGTTACCACCTCTCTATCACTATTCCCTGTATTTCCAAATCAGTTGAATGCACCTGAATCCTGGTCTAAGGGTCTGCGTCCAGGCACTGCAGTGGAAAGGGCTGGAAATCAGATGGCTATTATGGCCACAATTCAGGTGAGCAACAGTGAAGGCTCTAATGTGAACAGCACCCTGTACCCTAAGCCTAAGACAGAGAACAGGTAAGCAGCCTATGTAGCTGGAGTTGATAAGCATCAGGGTGGCAGTGAGGGAAGGAGGTCATGGACCACATTGGGGTTTCAAATAGGAACCCCACCCTGCCCCAGGCAGGTTGGCTCACTCTGCCTGCTACAATAGTCTAACCCTTGAGGACAGTTATTTGACATGGATTTATTGAGTGTCACTGTGTGCCAGTCCCTGTCTAGATGCCTGGGGCATGTCAGAGACCATTAACAGAAACACTCTCTGGTGGACCTGACATCTTAGTGGATAAATAGAGATAATAAATAATAAATCACTATGAATGGAATATACAAATAAGCTATCTCAAATGTATTAGTAATTTTAATGACTTTGAATAAGTTGACTTCTTCCATTTTTGATTGGGGAAAAAAGTTAAATCTAGCATTGTTATTGACAAAAGATGTAAATTGATATCAGGAAGATGAGGATTTTTTTTTAAATCTGGTAAACTTGATATTCCTCAAATGCCATAGAATGAAACATGACTATCAGTTTCAAAGTCAGACAAATTATAAATTGGAGTGAAAAGATTCAGTTATATTTCTAACTGGTAAAGGAAGTAATCTTATGTAAACAACACAGCTTTAAAAGGAAGACAAAACTGACAGAAACACTAGGAGCTGACAAAGTCCAACCACCCAAGAAACTTGTTAGCCAAGCCCAGAGGCCTGAGCCACACAGGGGGCAGGCCTGGGACCAGCCTAGTGCAGGGCCCCCGCAGAGACTGCACAGAAGACCCTGCCCAGAGTGGGATAGGAGATGGTGATTTCTATAGCGATATAAAATACTTTGCTTGGGACATAATCTTTTGGGGGAAAGGGAGATCCTAGAGAAAGAGGATACAAGTTACTTATTCAGACTGACTTTATTTTCTCTAGTATCTCTTTCTCTTTTATCTACCATTTCACAGCTAGGTGTGATAGAACATGCCCAGCAACTAGGAAGGTTGAGCAAGGCCCTAAGCAACTTAAATAATGACAGTCTCAAAATAAAATAATAATAATAAAGTAAAAAGGACTGGGAATGAGTGGCTAAATGCTAAAGTATCCCTGGGTTCAATCCCTGGTTCAAAAAAATAATAACAATTCAAAAACAGAGGTTTTTTTCAATATTTTCCTAGGATATTTGTATATGAAGGAGTGCAACAGGGCTGAAAACATGGGTTCAGCTTAAGGCTTTTTGTCACACAGGACAAGGACAGGACTGAAGTAGAAGAGAGAAGCAAAGCTCTGCAGGAAGTGGGGACAGGAGCACTAGGCAGAGGGTATTAGCCCTCAGCCAGGATCCATAGAAAGAGCACAGCTCTTCTCCAAGTGTGGCCAGGATGCTACATGTGGCCATGAGGAAAGATGTCCCTTCATTAGTTCATGCTAAAAGCTGAGGTGTGACCCAAGGACCTTCACCACACCATTCATTCTTTCTCTTCTCTTCCTCCTTCCATTTTTTTCTTTCATTCTCTTTCTCTTTCTTTCCTATTTATTCTCTTTCCTCCCTCCCTCCCTCCCTCGATCCCTCCCTTCCTTCCTTCCTCCCTTCCTTTCTTCTTCCCTTCCTTCCTTCCTTTCTTCCTTCCATTTCTTCTTTCAACTCAGTTGAAGGCTATGGACCAATTCCAACCATAGGAGAAATATAAACATCCAAGTCAATGATGATAAACCTCAACAAAATGTAACAAAACCTCAACAACTAGGGTCCCCAGCTTGTAGTGAATTGCAAATGTGAATAACCTGGAGACTCAAAAAGGGACAGCACTGTGCTGAGCAGCCCTGCTAGGTCCTCTGTCCATTCTAACTTCCTAGGAATGATTGCTGGTCTTGAGGGTTATCAGAATTTCCCTCTTTTTGCCTCTTTCTTCACTTTTTTACCGGTGACCATTGTTTCCTCTGAAAAGGATCAGCCCGAGAACATAAAGAGGCTATGAAGGGTGAACCCATTCGTTCTCTTTTTAAGCACCTGTAAATCAAAATAAAATTCAGGAAAGGCTGAACTGGGACTTTTTTTGTACTATGTTTACTTTCTGTGCTACCTCTTTCTCTTTTTGCTGAATAAATTTAAAAATTGGCCAAACACTCAATATGTTCATTGGATGCCTGTCAAATGCCATGGAATGCACAAAATACTCGAGTCCCATAATCTAATCTACATGTCATCTGATGACAATACAGATGTGCTTTACATTGTGCAGTGGACATAACTGTGTAAGTTGATCTTTTTTGAAAAATGCATCAAGTTTGAAAGGTATATCTACCATTTGAATGGTTTTGCTTAGAAGATACATACCATACTCACCAAGAAGTCGCCATGAAAAGATGACATTTTTGTCAGATCAGGCGAGGTGGGATCAAAGGAGGCAGATTTAAAAGGGCCGCTGAACAGGTTTATTGGGATCTCACTCCCAGGCGGAACTCGATCAGACCCACAGAGAGGACAGGGGAAGGGTCTGAGGAGAAACCACGTGGAAGCTCGACAGACTGGACTTTTATGGGGCTTACTGCAGGAAGGGAAGGACTTGGGACAGGAAAAGGTGTTTTTAGGGTCCCTTATCCTGCTGGAGTTGGTCAGGGGAGTTGGCTGAACTCCAGGATTAGCCAGGGGGTCCTGCTGATTGACAGGCGTTAGTTAGGAGATCTGGCTGATTGACAGGCGTTTCCGCTGGCACCTGATTGATGTTCTTTTCCCGAGTGGGCTGCTTTGTTCTAAGTTGTCACTAAGTTGCCACCAAGTCGCCACCACCGACCTAACAATTTTTGCTCATGGGCTTTTCCTAAACCAAGAAACAGTGCCTTCAGGTTTTTCATATGTAACAGGTGGTGTAACTGTATGTCTTTCCATGCCTGTGTGCTTCTGTGTATCTTGTGTTGTGTGTGTGTGTGTGTGTGTGTGTGTACACGCGCGCGCGCGCGCGCGCGCGCGCGCATGCGCGCATGCTGGGGGAGCAGCCATAGTTGATAAAGAAAGGTATAATTTTCCACTGTATTTTGTTAGTCACTAAAATGCTGGAAGGATCAGCTTTATTTAACCCTAAATAATGAATGTTTATTGCAAGTGTCCTGTGCCATTAGCATAACAAAGCCGAGTACTTTATCCTACTTAAGCCCTGATCTTTACCAAGTGCACAATCTGAAAAGCAGGCAGGCTCAAAATCGACCACCATCTGCTGTCCCCAACTTGGAATCACAGTGAGATTTATGCAGCCAAACAACCAAAGATCTGGTCTGCCTGCCTGTCCAATTAGTTAAATAAACTGAAAAGGCTTTGCTGACAAAGAGGCGATAAATGCTCCTATGATAATTATAGAATGGTGTTTTCACTTCACACCAATTGGATGTATTTAATCCTGCACCCAGGCGTCACTCATGCAATTAATAAGATGCAGGGAATTAAGGATGATGAAGGGGACCAGGATGTGTGGACGCCAGATCAGAATGCTAAATCTGGAAGCACCAAGTCAGTCCTGGTCTCAGCTGCTGGGGACATGGGTCACACTGCACTGCTGCCCACTCTGCGTCTCATGTCCCTGAAGGCTGCCCATTGTGGGATAGTTCCAGCATTCACTGATGTTATCATGCAAAGGCAGAGTCTTGTACTTTGTGTCACCTCTCACAAATGAAGGTGTGTGACTCTTTGAAATGGGAGATGGATAAATTGAATGATCACAAAAAGCAAGTTCTGCCATGTATTTTGATTTGTAATGAAATTACATAAAACTAACTTCATAACAAATGCATTTCAGAGTTTATTAGCATTAGTGCATAACAAAAAGCCCCAAATTTGACAAAGCAGCTACTTCTTAAAGGCTACCCTGAATGGCACTCAGGATGCCGTGTTTTTTGGTTTTTTTTTTTTTTTTTGGAACTCAATGGAGAAGCTCACTTTTCAGAGCTCCCCTTCCCACAGTCTGGGAAATATTTATACACAGGATGAAAATCTATCTTGCAGAGAAACCCCATAATTCCACAATTAGTCAAACAAATTTCAAATACTCAGCTTTAAAAATATTTACATTCTCATTTAGGGTCCAGGAAATGATTACTAACATTTACAAACACATGTGACATCACAAAACAGGATCTTGACCATGATGTAAATTAATTCAATCTTAAGTTCAATCTGTAAAAGAACTTCAGCCCTGGGAAACAGCAAGCAAAATCTGCTAGAAGGAACCTGTTGTCATATAACAGATAAGAATAACAGCTTGAGATAGGAATTCCAGAGTTTCTACCTAAGTAACAGACGGGGATTATCCCCAAGAATGGATCAAAATACAATTCACTTTTCAACATGCACTTGGTAAAAATTTGCCCTAGGGATCTGGTGTGAAATTGGATATTTAATTATTGCATGTGTGGAGAATTTCAATTATTGTCCTTTTTCTTTCTTCCTTTTTTTGTTGTTTTTGTCTTTATTTTTGTTGATAAGTCATGGTTTTTGGAGCCAGATATTTTCAGATCTCATATCTGGGATTCTCATGCTCAAGCTATTGTTTAAGGTGATGGAAATATGTAGGGAACATTAAACTATTTAGCAGGTGCTAGAATGAAATGCTTTCCTGTTTTCCTGATTTTTTGACAATGGAGAAGCTAAAAAGAAAAATAATAGGAAAAGGCTTTCCTATATTCCTTTTGGTCTGGGGGGGGTCTTGTTATTTTGAATTTAGTGAATTCATTCAGTGCAGTCCTCCATGAACAATGTACATAAGCAAAGAGAGGAACGTTCAACTGCTTACTACATAGCTGACCCAGGCAAGAAGATGTCGGGATAGGCCTTCCAGGAGATTTGCTACTCTGTCACTGAATAAAAGGACCACACAAGGTCAGCAGTGAGCAAGACCTGCTTCCCTTCTGGCCCCAGAGCCCAGTGAATTATCACTTTTCTCAGTGACATAGGGATGTGGAGCACAGCAATGTGACGTGACGATGATGATGATGATGATAATGATTTGGTGTGTGGGCAGCCAATTCTTGCCTCCAAGGCAGTCTTAATTCCCATAAAAGCAGATCTAGATTCCCACTACAAAGAGGGTTCACTGAGTCCCTCCCAAGGCATTTTTTGGACAATTGTCTTACACTTGGTTTTCTACACTACTCAGTCACCTTGGGGGACTGTCCTTCTGCATCACACTTGTCTAATAGTGAACAAGAAAAAAGAGCTACGGTGGTCATCTGAAATTCGGAAATGGGTAGCCATAGGAAGCTGCATGTTCAAGGGGGATCTTCTCCCCTTTAAATAATCTTCTTTAGAAGGTGAAGGATGGGAAGGGGTGAGCTGGTCCTGGATATTGCTTTTTTCATGAGTATCCTAGAATTACTGAGTTTATGAAAATTTGAATAAAACACAAACAGAAAATACCCTTCAGGGCTGAGTTGTAGCTCAGTGGTAGATTTGCCTGCCGAGCCTATGTGAGACCCTGGGTTTGACCTAGCACCACACACTACACACCACACACAAAAAAAAAGAGAGAGAGAGAGAGAGAGAGAGAAGAAGAAGAAGAAGAAGAAGAAGAAGAGGAGGAGGAGGAGGAGGAGGAGGAGGAGGAGGAGGAGGAGGAGGAGGAGGAGGAAACAAAAAATTAAAAGCAAAAAAAAAAAAGGCCATTGCCTTGAAGCCCTTTTCCCAGTGGGCTTGGCTTATTTGGTCACTGTCTCATTGGATCTCTGGCTGGGCATGACTAAGTAACCTTGGTCCCTCTGGTTAAGTGACAGTAGTTTGTCAATGGCTAGCACTTGGGTGATCAGCATCAATTTATTCAGAGCTAAGAGCCTCTGACTCCCCCAAGCAAGGATTTATATACCTTTCCCGGTGTGGTGGTGCACTCCTGTAATCCTAGTGGCTCAGGAGGCTGAGGCAGGAGGATTCCAAGTTCAAAGCCAGCCTCAGCAACTTGACAAAGCCCTAAGTAACTTAACAAGACCCTTTCTTAAAATAAAATATAAAAAAGGCTGGGGATGTGGCTCAGTGGTAAAGCACCCCTGTTTTCAATCCCCTGTACCAAAAATAATTTGTATACCTCAAACAAGTTGACAGAGAAATAAACGGAGGTCACTGGTCCAGGGATGTTGGCTATTCCTGGGTAGTGGGCAGACAGAGTAGATAAAAGAGCGCTGCTTGCCAAAAAAAAGAGCTGACGCTGTCAGAGGGTTGAGTAACTGTGTTCCTTATCAAGCCATCTCCCCACTTGTGGGCCCCTCAGAAGTGATCCATGATTTCTCGGGCGTTGAGGATGGAACTGTATGCTGCCACCTACAGAAGCATTTGAACACAGACGTCAGAAAATGGGGCTATGCTGTGTGAAAAGTCAGAATGCCGTGGAAACAAGATCCCCAGGTGACCTCGGAGAATTCAAGGCTCGCAAGGTCTGTACAAAAATGGTGCAGGGACTGTGGAAAGCTAGAACAGGAATGTCTCCCTCACCCCAAATGAGAAGGGCAAGAATTTTAAAGTCCTAGAGAAAAAAGGTGTTGCATTTTCGTTTACTTCACTTAAGTGCCATGCCTTTAAAAATCATAGAATGGCTGATGTTGGTTCCCATGCAATGGACTATGGTTTCCATACATTGCCAAAAGTCCTTGCCAAATGGACACAACCTTGATCTCCTTTAAGTATGAGACACCCGAATTCCAACTGAAAACTGGAGATCATGAGATAACTTTAAAAAGCAGAAGTTTCAGAGACCCTATCAAGCCCTTAAATGCCTCCATCTTTCACGTATCCCCTCCCTCTTTTGGGTGTTCTATTTTCTTAAGAAAAAAAATATAAATATATATATATATGCATACATGTATATATATAACATATGGATATATGTATAAACCATAACACTTACATTTCAAGATTGACTAAAGAATATTTATGTAACTCTGAAGGCCACACACCTGTCAGCTGTTCACATCCAATCCACAGGGTGTCAACCTCCAGGATGGATGATGTCTAAGGGAAAACCAGAAACAATCTGGCGTCCTGTTCTGAGAGAAAAAGACTTTGGAATCCTTGGAAGGAGATATGTTCCCTCCTGTCTGCTCTCCTGCCCAGAGGTAGAAAAAAGCCTCCAGGAGACCTGAGGTTTCCCAGCAATCTCAGGCAACGTCCCAACTTCCAGTGACTCTAGCAGAGCTATTCAAAGAGCACTGTCACCATGAGATGGAGAGTGGAAATCTTTGCTAACATACATTTGAAATGAAGCTGAAATAAAAATGTTTTTGAGCACTTTTTGCTGTTGCAAAACCTTAGTTATTATCTCTTTTCCTCCCCCACCCTTTTTTTAAGGAAAAGAGAAAGGTAGGGCAGGGACAAAAGCCCCTTAAGAATCCTGTGTGACTGATTGCTAATTTGGTTGTGTGCCACACCCACAAATCAGGAGTCAAGTTCTCCCAATGCACTATAGACTATGAACTACAAACTGAGCTAAAATGCTTTCAAACAACAACTTTCCAAAAACACAGCCTAACATCTCACTTCTACATCCTTCAGACACAGTCAGAATTCTGAGGGTTCTTCCATCTACAATCAAAGCATCAGAACACAGAGTACTGTGAGTGGAGGCAGGACTGCCTATGGGGTGACTCTGGGCCTGGAGTTGTCCTTGAACTTTTTTTTTTCCTGCCTTAATCGTATTCATACCATCAGCAGTCCAGTATGTGTTAACATCAGTCCATTCTGATGATCTGGGTCAACTATTTGTGAATCAGATCCCTGGCGTCACTCTAACCAGTTAGGCTATACTTTCACCAATGCTTTTAGCAACTTCTCTCATATTTTTCCACTCACAGATAAATTCAAGACTATCCGAAACTTAACAACTAGGGGATGCAATGTCTAAAATTCCTACTTCCTTACAAACTAAGCAGTGAGTTGTACTTCCTGTCATTCTAAAGGATTTCAACAATACCAACCTCAGCAGGACTTGTGATGGGGAAGTGCATGAATGCAAATGTAGAAAAGGGTTTACAACACTGAATATATTGCCTTTGGCGAAAAAGAAAAAAGTAAGCATCTCATATAATTAAATAATTAACAGACTTAGTTTCTATCATGTGAAGAGGGACAAATCATTTCAGTCTTAATTAGCATCAATAGTTTACTTTTTCTCTTAGATGAATGAAGAGATCAGAAAAAGCCATTCTAAGGGAGCCCCATTAGCACCTGATCTCTCCAACCTGGATCCACAACCAGGGGAGAGAAAGGAAATCATCCATGATTGAATTTAAAAAGGGAGAACAAGTGAGAAACATTAATAAATACTGGCAATATTGCCACAATGGCAGGCCAACACACAGCTGGCACATCAGGAATATCACATGCAGGTAGAAAATACTTGCATACTCCAGGTGGCCAGGCTGTTAAGTTGTATGACTGTTTGCTAAGATTCCAGTCCTGTCTTTCCAAAGATCTCCCCTTCAGAGGAGAAGTTTAAAGCTCCAAGGATGGTGGCAGCTGATTGTATCTCTGAGGCCATCTCAACTTCAGCAGTCTGTCCCAGGTGTTGGACTATGAAAGACAAAAGATGACCAGGTTGGAAGCTACAGTGCCCCTGCCACACGCACCACCCCCACCCCCGCCTTGTACCCATGCCACAAGGACTGCTGGGGTTGAGTGTAACATCTACACAGTCTTGTGTCTCTCTCTGCCTCTCTGCACCGTGGACAGTGCCTCCCACCTCCCTGAGTGACCTCGGGTCTTCCATTTACCTGTACTGATTCTCCATGGCCCGGCTCTCTGCTCGCTCTGGTACCCAGGAGTAACTATCAGCTGCACTCTGGGGCTTCTTCTCCTTTATCTCTTCCTTCTTGGCTCTCCGCTTGCGGTAGACCAGAAGCCCCAAAGCCAGAGCCAGCAAGAGTGAGATGGCCACCACTGTGCCCAGGATATAGAACAGAAGCAGCTTTTGACCGTCAGTGCCATAGTCGCTCTGGGTAGCCACAGAATTCTCACCTGTAGCCTTACCATGACCAGCTACAGCTATAGGGAGGTGGGTGTTTGGCTCTGTCCAGATGCCAGGGGCCCCACTGGGGGCTGACATGTCCAGAAGGGCGGAGGTAGTGGGGGCATTAGATGAGAGGGACGGTATCCTTGTGGTGGGTGTGCCCTTGGAGGTGTTCTCAGAGTCCTTGGGGAAGCTGGATGTTGTGGTAGGAGGCAAAGTGCTCCCCTCTGTGTCTGCCATGTCTTCCTCTTGGGGAGGCCCAGATGGTGATCCTGAGGGGACAGAATTCTTGATGCAAGAGACCCCATTGGGGGCCAGCTCCCAGCCCCGCAGGCAGCCACAGTGGAAGGACCCCTCTGTGTTGAAGCACAAGCTGTCACAAGGGTTGCCCCTGGGGTCGGAACACTCGTCCACATCCTCACATTGGGTGCTGTCCTCCCCGGACAAGACATAGCCCTCCTCACAGGAGCAATGGAAGGAGCCATCAGTGTTGATACAGCGCTGGGCGCAGGGTGAGTGGCCAAGGGCACACTCGTCCACATCCCAACAGGTCTCCTCTTCAGGGCCACCAGGCGTGTAGCCCACCCAGCATTTACAATGGAATCCCCCAGGGGTGTTGACACACTCTTGAGCACAGGGGGCATCCTGACATTCGTCCACATCCACACAGTCCAGCTGACTGGAGTCTAGACGGAAGCCCTGAGGGCAGCGGCATGTATAGTCTTTCTCGTGGGGTCCGGGGACACATGTGGCCTTCCCTTTGCACGGGCTGGAGCTGCAAGGATTCCGAGAGGCACAGGTCACTAGGTCGTCCAGCAGCCGGAACCCTGGCCGGCAGCCGCAGCGGAAGGAGCCATCCCCACCTTCGAAACAGTCTTGCTGGCAGCCCCCGTTGTTGAAGTTGCAGCCATACTTGGGGCTCACACAGAGGGGACCTGTGTTGCCCCAGTTAAACACTTCAGGGGCCTTCTCCTTGCACAGGAAATAATGACTTTTACTTTCGGCCCCATCCTCACAGGCGACATTGGCCACAGAGGCAAAGGGCACCACCTCCAGGGAGGAGGTGGTGGCCTGGAAGGGGGTGCTATAGGTCACCTGGCCTGGACCCCCCAAGGCCAGGGGCCGGCACATGCCTTTGAAGCTGAACTTGCATACAAAGCCCTCGATATTGCTTCCTGGAAAGCCAGGGGTCCCACAGGGGCCATCAGACCACTTGGGGAGGCGGCTGGGGAGAGGTGTTAGGGACAGGTCCAGCAGCAGGGACACACAGCGGTTGGAGATGCACGAGTTCTTGACTTCTTTGTGCCAATTTGTATACAGGGAGTCCTCCCCTCCACCCACCCAGCTGAAGCCCTTCAGCGTCTTGTTAGGATCCAAGCACTTGCCCTTCTCCCGCTGGAGCCCAATCCAGAACTTGCCCATCCTTGCTTCACGGCTCTTCTGTGACTCCAGGAGCTGGGCCAGGGCTCGCTGGACATGCTGGGCCTCCTCCTCACTCTTCACCGTGGCCAGGTTGCCTCCGTTCACACTGCAGTGGTGCTGGGCCTCCGTGGCAGTCAACTTGTCCCAGTGGGCCGTGTAGCAGGCAGTCCCCGCGCACACCACAGCCTCTGGGTCAGCTCCAGTCCCCGCCCAGGCCTGGCCTAGGAGCAGCAGCAGGAGCAGGTCCCTGGAGGTGGCCATTCTGTCCTCTGGGTCCCCCTCGATGAGAGGCTAGAAGCCCCACAGGGACCGCAGTCACTGGAGCTTAGACTCCGGCGCCCAGCTGTGCTCGGAGGGGAGCTGGGAGCTGAGCTGCAGCAGGAGCTCCAGCCCAGAGAAGGACACAAAGACCGCAGGCTCTTCACATCCCCCTGACCCAAGGCGCATCCTGTGCTCTTGTACTTCTTATTTCTCACCGGATACTGGGGCTTCCTGCAGTGAATAGATTTCTGACTCCTGTTGCCTTCATCACGGTTTTGTTGTTCATAAAAGGAACCCGGCGGCTTTGCTGGGTCCCTGGCTCAGAGCTGTGGAAAAGCGACGCGGGGGGATGACTGTGCGGCTCAGAGATACTGGCTGCTTTATTTTGGCTCAGTTCTCTTTCCCATCCACATGAGGAACCTAAATGGTATGCTACAGAGCAAGCAAAGACTTTGGGGTCTCAGAACTTGAAAAGGATCACTCCATAACCCATAATAAAATTCCACTTTGGTTTGCAAACAACCAGAAGAAGAAGGAAAAAAAAAAAAAAACAAGACTTGAAACACAAGGCCGTGGATGGTTATAATTTTCAGCCTTTTTTAGAAGCAAACTAGATTTTTCTTCTTCCTATCTCATGTCTCCCCCCTCTCCCCCCTTGGCTTTGGAAGTCGTTTTTTTTTTTCTTCTTCTTCTTCTTTTATTCCCCCCATCATGAACCTTAAATAGATAGGCAGTTTTTAAATAGGATCTGGGCCGTGGGAAAGTCTGGGTTTCTAACACAATGCCAAGCTCCTTGAGAATATTAAACCAAATTGGGTGAAATTTGGCAGTTTTTAGGGGTTCGTTGTGCGAATGTTTCATTTTGAGGTGGCAGGGTCATAAAAACAGCATTAGAAAGAGGAAAAAAAAAAAAAATATATATATATATATATATGATCTCATGGGCCCTGGCTTGCCTGTCTCTGGGGGAGTTCAAGGACAGGGAATTTGAATCAAAGACTGGAGTTTGGGGCATCCAGTGAGAATGACAATAAAGGGCTAGAGCTCTGGGCTGTAGAATCAAAGCTGTGGCATGACTCTTGCTGCACATGAATTCAGCCAAAGCCCTTGAATCCAAGATTCTTTTCTTGTAATCATAGACCTCTGATCACCAGGACTTGTTTGGTTGGGGTCCCCCAGAAATAGACCCTGAGACAAGAATTTGGAGCAATTATTTTATTTGGGAAGGGAAATGAAACAGACAAGGAAGGGGCCCATAGAATATGGCACAATGCAGCAGGTAACACTGGCCTCCTGTGAAGGCCACACTTTACAGTTGTCCCCGATGAAGGCAGGCAACCAGCAGTGCTCCAGCTCCTCTCCAGATGGCTGTATTTTCCCCTAATTTGGTCTTACGGTCTTTCTCAGGACAATGGCTATAAACTCTAGCTCTGCCTACCTGACCAGGTGTCTCTCTCCCAGAAAAGTTGTAGACACACGTGGATGCCCTTGTAGTTCCTGTCTGATCTGTGTCCCGTTTATTCTTACCAAGATGGCAGCTCTCTCTTACCAAGATGAGTACCCATCTCAAACTCCAGCCAGGGACACCTCAGAAAATGTTCCTTATGTCCTTGTCATTTTAGAAAACACATTTAAGATAGTCCAGGGACTTTTTCTCAGAGACCTCTGGATCTTTCTTGTGCTCCTTTGTGCCTATAGAGATCCTTCTATCCACCCACCTATCCATCACCCGCCCGTCTACTCACCCATTTGTCTGGGGAAGAAGTTAGTTTCAGGTGTGTTGTTCAAGTGACACCCAAAGGAGGAAGTTTAACTGAACACCTGAAATGATAGAAACGTTTGTACTATTTATAGGTCTCAGAAGAGGGCAGAGTGCCTTGCTGGCCAATGGGAAGTGGGGAGCTGTCCAGATAGTAGGTACAGAAAGAAAGAGAAAGAGAAATCTGTAGGTCAAATTTTGGGGGGAGGGGGGGGCCTGGAGCATTACCCATGCAGGTTTGCCTGAGGAGAGTCTAATCAATGGTTCAGAACAAGCAGACATGAGTCCTGTGACAGAGATGGCCACTGCAGCAAATCTGCACAGTCATGTGTGATGCATAGGTGAGTGGGGTAGGTTGATAGGCATCCCCCTCTCCCATAGGGAGGTGGTAACCAGGAGGAAGTTATATAAGATATTCATCTGGACTGACCACATTAAGTTGCTGGAAGGAGATGGAAAACTAGAAATTATGTCAAAGTGCCTAAGCCTGGTTTCTGGAATATAAAAATCCAACTTCAAAGTCCTCAAAATTAACTCCAAGACAATGTAAAATTATAATAATTCACTACACAGTAGCAACTCCTTGGCACTCAGCTACCCATAAAGGCCCAGTACATTAGAGGAAATGCTCAGGTAAAGAACCACAGGGGACAGACTGCCACAGGGCAGTGAGCAATGCACCAACATCTGAAATGTTGACTTCTATGGCAACCTGAGATGGGCACCCTTCCTCTCAGCCTCGCCAAGGGATAAAAGTACCCATCTCAAACTCCAGCTAGGGACACCTCAGAAAATACTCCTTATGTCCTTGTCATTTTAGAAAATCCATTTAAGATAGTCCTGGGACTTTTTCTCAGAGACCTCTGGATCCTCCTTGTGCTCCTTTGTGCCTATAGAGATCCTTCCATCCACCCACCTATCTATCACCCAACCGTCTACCCATTTGTCTGTCCATCCATCCATCCATCTATCCACCCACCTACCTGACAGTTGTTCCTACTAGGGGCTGGGCTAGGCACCTGGATTTCAAGGATGCATTTTTGCCTTCATGATCCTTGACATCTTTTGGAATGGACAAATTTGAACAATTCACAGTGTAAATCCACTTATTTGCAAACAATTCAAGGAAAACATCAGGGTGTCAAGAGAGGCCGTTACCTGGATAGGAACCTGGTGTAGGGTGGTGGGTAGTTTGGAAAGTCTCCTCTGGGAAGAAAGACAATGAAGCTAGAATCTAAAGGAGAAACAGCTACTAGGCAGAATGATGTCCACATGGTGGATCAGCACACATCAACACCCTGCAGACAAGTCTGGCAATGGAGGGAAGTGAGACGGGAGCCTGATGAAAGGAAGGGGAAATACAGGAGGAGATGGAGCCCTCTAAGCCCAGTCTGGGCTTTTCATTAAGACACAAGGTAAGCTGAGGAACCAACCTGAGACCTGTATATAGAAGGTAAGCAGACAGCGGACCCCAAGTGGTGTGAGGGTAGCACTCACCAGGCAGACTCAACTTTGACCTTGGGTTGCAATGAGGGCTTGATCCATTCATAGTCTCTCTCCATGTCTGTACACCAGTTTTTGTGCAGCCCAGAGCCGGATTCCTGGATTCCTCAGTTAACTTGCCATCCTGCAGGAGTCGCCCAGCATGATGCATTGTTGGTGCTTAAGGATAGGGGTTGAATGAGTAACTTGCATCTTGATAACCACTCTGACCTCCAGATCTTTGCCAAACCATCTTTTTAAGCCAGTGGTTCTTTATCTTTCACTTAAGAACTTTCAAATCTATTACTTTTACTTTGTCCAGTGTTGACATCTTAAAGAAGATAATAAACAACAAGGAAGTATGCTTTGTTTATTCACCCATTAACCTAGAAAGGATCTCTGAAGCACAAACTGTGTGAAAGGCCATATAAAATGCAGGAACCACCCTGCCCTGGGAGTCATAAATTCTACTTCATTATTTCCAATAACCTTATTAACTCAGCTCTTATCTCCCTCATCTATAAATAAAGAGGTGGAAACAGAGCCTCTGGAGAAACTTCTTGTCCTGACATCAATCATAGTGATGTTATACTCCATAATTCCTTCTGAAATTGGTTAGAAAGCAGGCAGAAAGGAAATGGGCCCTAAGACCACAGCTGAACTCTCTCTCCATATGCAACCAGACCTCTATCTAAATTGCACCCATGCAACTCCCCCCAGCCCACAAAACTGACCCACTAACTATCAAAATGCAATGCAATTTTCCTACTAGTTATTCTTCTGATTTCTGCTCCATCCTTCAATCCTGCTGCTTGCTAGGGTTAATTCAACTGGAACATGCTGGACTTTCCAGCTCCAGGTCTCCCTGACTAAAAGGAGGTAGCAGAGGTCACAGAAAAATCAAGGGCATGGTATCTGTGAGCTCAAGGAAAGAAGCAGAACTTACTTTTCCTGGGTAGTTTTGGCTGACTTTTACCAATAAGATAGCTTGAGTGCAAACTGAGGAAACTGGCAACTTGCGTATTAAATTCCCCCATGGGAAATGATTAGATTATAGCAAACCTCTCCAAGGACTCTGATCCTTAAACAACAGGAATCAACAGCCCAGAGTTCCAAATAGCTTTTCTTGGTGGGTCTTTGCATAGAAACCGTTTCAGGTATCATAGAATAGTCACAAGCCTAACAGCATGATATGTTCCCTGAGTCACAGCCGCCAATCATCTGCTTTTATGTTGGAGTCTCACTGAGTAGTCAGAGCTTTCCTTGTAAATTGCCTTAGAAACTTACTTTACATCATGCTGGGAATGGAATGTTCTGGTCTAAAATATGGGAACACTTTAATCTCAATTATTCAGGAGCAGATTAATTGGTGTGTGGCTCATTCAGGCATCAGGCTTTTTTTTTTTTTCCTTTATTTTGAACTAAAATTTGAAAGGAGGAGGTTATACAAAGTTGACAGAATTTTTCTTGGTACAACACACATATGGTGCCCTATATATACATCAGTTAATTTTGCTCCATTTGTTCCTTCGATCAAGTGCACATTGAGCACCTACTATGTGCTGGGCTGTGTTATCTGCATGTGGAGGGGGAGGACATAGGTTGCAGAGCCTCATGGATCTTGTAGCAGACAGGTGGAATGAGAGGGAAGACAGCTAGGAGAATGTGACTGGCCACAGGCTGTTAGCAACAGCTGTCTTGGTGAGGGAAGGACATGTTCAAAGATGACCCAGGTAAATAGGGGACACCAAGGGGTGAGGAAGTCTCAGAGAGAAGGACAAAAATACAATTCACAGGACCTTCAGGTGGCCTTACCAGTGGCAGAACACAAGGCTGTCACAGATCAGAGACCAAGGAAACACAGGTAATAGGTAGTTTTTCATTTATAGAGAATTTAAAACTGATTAAAAGTCTGTCTTCTCTTTACTATTTTTGAATTGTCTTTTGTCTTTTTGCCAAGTCCCAGCAATTCTAAACAAGGTCAATGATAAAATTCTCTTCCCTACAAAAAGCATATATTTGTTGCTCTGTCTTAACAAATTGTGGTCATCACCCCTGTTTTAATAATCTATATTCAAGCTTTGGATTAACACTTTTAATCACTTATTCTTTAATA